CCCCAAAACCCCAAAACCCCAAAACCCCATTGAGCATTTAAACTAATAATCTAAGAAATAAAAAATAATCTTTTCTAAGTGAATAAAATCAAGAATGATTTATTTCAATAATCATTAATAACATTTGTCATTAAAATCAATCAATTGTTGCTAAAACCCTGACTAAATTTTGACTTTGTTTCTTCAAAAGCAGGAGTTTATTTTTCAAAAAATTGATTGGTTACAGGAATGGGAGATAAAGAGCCCTTAATATTAAGCCTATTAGAATTCATTTGAGATTGAATCTAAATCAGATTGTTGTTTAAGTTTTGGGAAGATCCATGAATTTTGCTTAAGGGACCTACTCTTGAGGAAATTGGTGTTGCTCCCTAATTAGAGTAAGTTTACTTCTTCTTCAAAGATCTACTCTGACTGAGACTTTACATATCAGTCAGCTTATGTTCATCATTTCTCATAACTCCTTCATGATTGTACATCTTTCTTTTCACAAACTTAACAATGTCTCTCACTTATTCCAAATTGTTTCTCTGCTCACTTAGTCTCTCCTTTACTTATTGCACTCTTTCTCTATTTTTCTCATCAAAATACTCGAATGGATTCACCAAATCTAGGTTTTAGAAAGCAATTAGTGACTCTTAGAATATCTTAAAGTTAAAGAGTTTAACTTTGTGAATGTTTTCAGCATTGATTCGATCTGGCAGAGCTCTAAGGAACATAACAATGTCTATGTGCTCTGACAAAGAAGATTCAGAGACTATTACAAAATTGTTAAAGAACTGGTTGATGCATTTTAATTCTTGAGGACTGGGATCAATTTCAAACTCTGAAGCTGGATTTTAACTACCCTGCTTATCAAGGTTTTAGGTTTTTGAAATATTCTAGATAAGTTTGGGTTGGTTATTTTGAGTTTAATCTTGGTTTTTTCTCTTTCTATTAATGAGATTTAAAAGGTTATCCACAGGCACAAATCTTGATCTTCTACCCTGACCAAATTTATCATTTATTTTACTCTAAAGTCCTCTATCTATTTGGCTTTCGTCGTCATCGTCACGTTTTATTTCTTCCTTAATTAGATTTTAATCCTCATTTGGCACAAATAAAGAATAGGCTCTGATACTTTTAGTTTGTTTAGTATCTCCATTGATATTGCCTCTAAGTGAATTTTAATTCTTAAAATTTCTTTTGCTGTCTAACTGAAGTTTTCTCCTTATTTTCCAATCTTCTACGATAGCACTCTTTTTTACCACATAAAGACAATTCTAATCATTTGGATTGTAACTCATAGATTGCTCTAATTCAAATAGTTCATCTTCAATTACAAAGTTTTCAATATCACTATCTTCATCACTTAGATCAACACTCATTTATGAGCTTTTATCTTCAGGAAATTCCATACCTGCATTCTCAACTACTTTTGCTTCATGCTTTAGTTTTCCTGGTTTTGATGTCTTATCATCGGGCCGAGACTCATCATCATCATAATCCATCAATGAATGTTCATTCCCCAAACTTGCGCCATTGCTATTAGGTTTCAAATTAAGAGGATCTTTTTGAAATTTTGATAGCCTCTTTTACTCCGACCTTCTTTGTCTTTTAGCCTCTCTAGATGGTGAATCTCCTTTGAAATGCCTTTTTAAAGTTTTGAACAGAGATATGACGCTATCCCTAGCAAGATTTAATAGATCAATTTAAGTTTCGATGGGTAAAGTATCATCCTAAAATTGCTGCCAAATATTTTGCTAAAATCCTTTAGGATGTAGGAGAATGTGAATGACGTTTTGAATATCCTTATAAACTAGATAGAAGTCGATGAAAAATCCAAAAGTAAGCCAAATTGCTAGAACGAAAATCTTTCTAAATACTCCAGAATCTATAAAAAGTAGAATACTTAGTGCAGTTTTCAAATATGCCAATGGGATCATTATAATTTCGAACAATATGAAGAATGGGATAAATATGCAGTTCTCAATCCAGAACATAACCATCGAGAATAAACGACTGAGTTTTAGCATTTTACGTCTGTTTCTGACAAATGGAAGGAGTATTATGCAACCATATGAGAGTGGAGGAGGATGTAATACAAGCTCTCCATAGGCAGGTTCTTCGAAGCAAGTTATGAATCGCTCACAATACTGGTACAGATTTTTTTTATACTTAAAAATACCACTCTGCTTCATATTTTCATAAGTTGTTGATAAAATAGCAATCAAGTAGTTTAATAGCAAGACATTGCTGAAGAAAACATGAAAAATCATCAAGACTGAATAAGATAATGTTCTTCCACCTAAGCCATCATAACTGTAAACTGCTAGGGCTGCATCAAAGAGTGTTCTGACCGTAGTAGTTAAAGATCCGAACTTCTCAGGACTAATATCTTAGTAAAGTGTAGTGAATATTGATGACATGATTACAATGAAGCATGATACAATGAAAAAGAAAGATATTGTATCCTCCACCATTTCTATAAGTGTAAGTAGTAGTTTTGAGATCGATCTAACGACTAAGAAATACATGAAAAATCTAATCCAAGAAAATGCTAGCACAAATATCATAAAGTAATCCATTACATCTTTAAAGTTTCCATCCAACAACTAATCTAGGCGTACTCTTTCAATAACCTATACTGCAATAATGTTCAGAACTGCTGATAGTGAATCCAAAATTACCCACTTATCAAAAGGTAATTTACTCTTGCTATAGTGATTGAAGATAAACTTGAGAAATAGCTAGAATAAAAGGGCGAATGAAAACAAGTAAGAAACAATACCCAGATTATAGATAATGTTACCCGATTTTTATAGATCTGAGAGTTCTTCTTACTAATCCTTTAAACTCTATTCTAGTAATGATTAAAGATATCTGAGAGTTCCTCCAATTACACCAGTTACAGCAGTATCATCTGTTGCTGAAACTTCAATTACATCATTGGCAATGCTAATCAGAGTCAAGTACTGGTAATTCAGCCATTAGAAAATAATCAGCATCATTAGAGCACAATAAAGCTCCTTGGTGAAGTAAAAATAAATAGACTTAGATCTATATCTATGCTAGATAATATAATCAACCTTGAAATTAGGTTCAAAACTGTTACTAGCGATTTCCATGATGCCATTTTACTTGGAGTAAAGAAGTTTTTTGAATGGTTTGAATACAATGTTTGACATATTGGAAAATCCAAAGATATTTCCATCACAGTTGGTTGCTTCATTTCCTCTCCAGATCTTGTTCATAAGGTTTTCTGCTTTAGGATCGTTTTCGTCCATTAGACGCTCAAAGTTATTTTTAGAAATTATCTTTAAAACTGGACGATCCTATATATCCTTGTCTAGAATCAGCTTTTCATATTACTTTTCATCTGTAGTTTTAGAAATATACATTTCCCCAAGTCTTAATAGTTGTTGTACAATTCTCTTCGATTCATTTTCAAATTTTCTACGGACACTTGAGACCTTATTGAGAATCTCGCAAGACATCACAATAGTAAGTATAGGATTATAGCTCAAATTTAGTTGATTCTTCTCATAGTTAGATTCTGCAAATTCAACAAATACATCCATGATATCCCTATTTGAATTAATCAAAGGTAGCTGACTTACTTGATCTGTCTATTTCTTCCAACAGATATATCGATAAGAGACATTATATCTAATATATAGTTTGTCCTTGTGCCTTGATTCAAATAGAATAATAATTTTTCTACTACTTAGTCCTCTCTAAATAGTAACTTATCAAAAGCCTTTATCTGCAATGCATTTCTAAAATGTTAAGAAAAGTTTAAGTTACTTTAGAAACTTCAGGTTCTATGACTCTATACAAAATATTAGGAGCTGTTCATTTAGGTTATGACCGAAACTGCCCATATATTAAATTGCAAGATCATCTTAGCCAAAAGTCAATAAAGCCTGCAGGAAATTATCCCCTGAGTGTTGCAATTTCCATTCACATATTTCCTTAATAGCATCTTTAAATTCGTCTGAATTTTGTTTGATCTCTCTAATGTATTTGAAAAGTTTCATAAAAGTTAGTTGCTTTGACTTTCTTGTCTTCTGATTATAAATAAAGTTCTTCCCAAATCCAAACATATAATACATGAAGTCTAATTGGTCATTTTCAATAGCTCTCAAAATAATATCCTTGGTTACTGATGTTTTATAATAGGCGATGATCACCTAAGATACCTTGGTTTCCTCATTCTTGAGAGCAACTCGTAGCAAATTAGTCATCAGAGTTGGGAATTCATTCCTCAATATAGTCTTTACCTCAATCAGTTCAGTGATGTCACTATTAATATGAACATTGAATTTGAATTTACCTGAAATTTTCAAAAAGACTATTAGCTGCCTCAGTATTAACTTATACCTCAGTAGGGATCAAATTGCTTAAGTCACTACTTACAGCCTCTTTGCTCAGTTACTGTTTTTTCTTGATAGTGCTTATCGACTTTTACTCAATTTTAGTGCTTTTCTCTTAAACTATTTCTGTGGGAGTCAATAGCTCATCGTTATTCTCATTATCAAATTCATTTAGCAATTTGTCCTTTTTTATTTTCATGCCAATCAGGGGCTCTATTTGCTATGAATCTGAATTTTTTCTTTTCCCGTTACCCACTTTTGTATCTTGCTTTGTGTTTACTCTGCTATTACCCCTACTGATATGTGATAACATTTTATTGTCCTGGCCTTTTTTCAAAATTGAACCGACTATTTTTTTAAGAAAGGGTACTCTCTATATCATGAATGTACACACTTCAATAGTTTCTAGATGAATAGCTAGCCAGAATCCTAGAGTCATCTCATATTAAGATTTTTATTAATCAAGTTAATCATTCAAATCCTTAAGTCTGTGTTTTATTTGGCTTTGATCTTTCTTAAAGATTGCTGCCAGCAAGGGAGTAGAAAAATCATTAATTGTCAATCGAAAATTATACTTTTTTACTATAGCTTATACCAAAGCCTCCACCAAGTTATTATTTTAGGGTAATTGATTTATAACATTTTTTATAGGACTTGTAGGATTTCCTATTCCTTGTTATTTCAGTAGAATAAAATTGCTAAGACCTTAGAGTCTGATATTTGAAGTCAATTTCTTTTTGGGGTTAAGATTATTGCTCATGCTTCTATTGAGATCCTTGATACTCATTGAACTACTCTTTTCTATAACTTTCCCACTTTAGCTTTTGACCTAACTTTTTCTTGTTTGCCTGTTCGTAAAAAGTGCAGACTGATCTGAAATATTTAAATTTATTTCCTATCTTAAATAATGTTAGGTACTTACTGTTTTCAAATATCTGACTCAGATTTTAAACATTCTATTTGTTTTTGTTGAATTAATCTGGTGGAGGCTACGAACCTTAATTTTCTTCGAATTCAACAGTCTGCTAATATTTCTTTGCTTATTGATTGCCCATTATATAAGCGATTTAAATTCTCAATATTTTTTAATCTTATTTATTTAAAAGCTCTCATTATGACAAACTATCGATTTCCGGGGTTTTGGGGTTTTGGGG